GCTCACCTCCCTCTTCGTGCAGACGGCGCTGCGGGGCTGGGCCGTGCGGGTGCTGGACGTCTCCTTCCCCTCGCTGCACCAGCCCCTGCTCACCTCCTCGCACAACCAGTGGAAAGCCGACCGGCGCGCCCAGGCCAGCCGCCGCCGGCTCTTCCAGGACTTCGGCATCCAGCGGGTGGTGCTGGAGGACGGGCAGTGGCAGGGGTGCACCAAGGAGACGCCGCGCTGCTTCGGCACCGTGCACGACGACACGCCCGAGTACCTCTACCAGGACCGCTGGACCCCGCCCTGCTGCCTCCGGGCCCTCCGCGAGACGCGGCGTGGTCGGCGTCCTGGAGGCGGCGGGCGTGCGGTACTGGCTGGAAGGCGGGACGCTGCTGGGGGCCGCCCGGCACCGGGACATCATCCCCTGGGACTACGACGTGGACCTGGGCATCTACCTGGAGGACGTCCCCAACTGCGAGCTGCTGCGCAGCGCCGAGTCGGGCTCCGTCGTGGACGAGAAGGGCTTCGTGTGGGAGAAGGCCGTCGAGGGCGACTTCTACCGGGTGCAGTACAGCGAGCACAACCACCTCCACGTCGACCTCTGGCCCTTCTACCCCAAGAACGGCGTGATGACCAAGGACACGTGGATGGACCACCGGCAGGACGTCGAGTTCCCCGAGCACTTCCTCAAGCCCCTGGTGCCCCTGCCCTTCGCCGGCTTCACGGCCATGGCGCCCAACGACCACCGCGGCTTCCTGGAGCTGAAGTTCGGGGCAGGCGTCATCGAGAACCCCGAGTATCCCAACCCCGCACGGAAGAGGCTGGACAAGGGGGCTCTCTGAACGCCAGGCCCACGCCTTCGAGAGAGACCGCCCTGGCCAGGGGTGCCGGGAGACGTACCACGGGCCGCCAGCACCAGGGAAGTCCAGCCTCTGCCGTGGTGCTGAGGACGGGCTGCACGACGGGGCAGGTGACCTGGACCGCCACCACCACCTCCCTCGGGTTTGCAGTCAAACAGCTCAGACGTGTCGCGTCCTGGCCGGGGCGCGGGTTTGTCGCCCGCTTGGGCATGCACAGTGGGGCAGCTCTGGGGCAAAACACCCCAGGGTCGTAGGGATGAAGCCCTTGTGCCCGAGACTGGGGCCAGGCGGCTGCCGGGGCTCCGTCCGGTCCACCCTGCCAGGCAGAGAGAGGCCCGAGACGGCCCGGTGCGTCCCGTCTGCCACCGCTTGCGGCATCGGCTGGCGCCAGAACAGCTCACGGGAGCGCGGCGGCACGCGGACGCCTGCCCGGGGCTCTGGCCCGCGCAGCGGAGGGGAAAGTGCGGTGCTTCCCCGCTCGTCACGCGCCCGCTGATGAGATTTGTGCCTTGTTTCTGGAAGGCAGGATGTAGGGGGCAAAAAGGGTCTGTTGGCCGCCGTTCAAGCGCAGCGTCTCCGTGCTTCTCTTCCTCCCTGCGTCTTTGCCAGCCAGGGACCCCGCCCCCCCCATTTTGGAGGGCTGATTTTTTGGGGTGGCACGCAAGGAAACGTGGTCATTATACCGGTGCCGAGTGGCTGGAGGTTTGTTGGCCCTTGGCTCGAACCTGGTTGGAGCAAGGGGAAGGGGGGAGTTTACCACGCTGAAGCGGAGGTCTGCCCCAAGCAGGGGGAGGCCCCAGGCCCATGGCGCCCAGGCCAGGGGCAGCGAGCTCGGGGAATGGGGGCTCTTGGCAATGCCGCCTCAGAGCTGCATGGGGGAGACGCGAGCCCCACGCCTGTTACCTGGGCCGATGTGCCCTGGGGGGAGGTCAGAGTAGGGGACAGCTTGGCCACCCCGTGCCCAGTGGACCCACCTCCCCCTTCCCAGCTGAGTCTGTCTCAGAGCCAGGACGTGCCGCCTCCTCTGCAGCCTGTTTTCCCTGCTGCAGCTGCAGCCCATTGCTCCTAGTCCCGTCCCCTGTGGCCACAGACAAAAGTCTGTCCCCATCCTCTCTGCCATTGCCCCAAGACTGGGATCAAATCCCCCTTGGGTCTCTCCGCCCCTCGCGTCGCTCTCCGCCAGACCCTTCCAACCTCCTCCTGGAAGCGCAGGCCCGGCCTGCACCCGGGGCTCCCCGCTGCCGGACAGAGCAGGACAATCGCTGCCCTTGCTTTGCAAGCGATGCTCCTTCAGACAGCCCAGGAGGCTGCTGGCTTTTTCTTGCACCCTGTACGGTCATCTGATCCAACCCCCAAATGAAGCCAGCTGCCATGGGATTCGAACCCGCACCCGCAAAGCCCTCCCCCGACTTCCTCGTGCTCCCAGACGCTTGCTCCAAGGGTGGAGCCGTTCCCCTGCGAGCTCTGGGGTGCGGGGTGGAGACGAATAAAGGCCGGTCCCTTGTGGGCCCCTTCCTCTTCGTTAAGGTTCGGGCTTTTTTCTCTGCAGTCGGAGCAACTGGGGCCGTGGGAGTGAACTGGGCTGGTGCGCCTAGCGGCACGAGCACCCTGGCTGGAGGGGATCGTCCCTCTGCTTCTCTCTCTACAGATGGGGGGGTTGCCTTTCTTTCTGGGGGTTCATGGCTTCTGCCTGGGGCTCGCATGTGCACCAAGCCCCCTGCCAGAGCCGGAGCCTCTTTCAGAACCGGGCCCAGGACGCACCAGCCCCTTCCCCGCAGCTCGAGCGCAGTCCAGCATTACTGCCCCGACCATTGGGGTAAAGCCCCCCCCCGACGTGCTGAGCATACTTTGGGCTTGCAGGCCGTGGCCGGCAGAGGGCAGCACCCCCACGCACGGTTCCTGGCCTGGGGGAGCGCGGCCTAGTGGCACCGGCTGGAAGAACCGGAGCAGGCAGCTGCAGGGCTCGGCGCAAGCCAGCGGGGCTCAGGGAGATGCACCAGGCTGAGCTGCACGTCGCCCGCCCCGTGCCACCGCAGGCTGGAGCTCACCACTCCTGGCCCCCCGTGGTCTGGTTGCAAAGGCCCAGTCCAGCCCCCACGTGGCCCGGAGGCTGCCGCTGGCCCCGCGCCGGGCGC